TCGTGCTCTCGTTAGACTATCGTGTGCATCTTGCACGGACCGCCAGATGTTCGTCGTATAGGAGATATTAGCGCGGCTTAACCGTCGAAAGTTTCGCCGTTCAATCTCGCGCCGATAGCGAGCGTGCGCGCACACACACCGGATAACAATCGCGCGCCGAGGCAATTAACAGACTCGCGCATCTGGAGAATACTTGGTGGGTAGGAAGGATGTGGTGTTAAATCACGGGCTCTCGGATCGGATTTAATTTGCAATTCTCTGTACTGTGTAATCAAGCTCGGCGAAATGGCTTCCAGCCGCTTAAACCCGTATCCCACACTCGCTCGCGTTTCCGCGCCATTTCGCTGAGGTGTGTTTCCGGGCGAATTCGGCCGCAGCCGGCCGCCAATTTCTCCGCGCGGCTTCGTGATCGCGCTCATGAAAATAATTTGCGTTTCGTGTTCGCGTTAGGGCCTCGCGTGGCCGAGTTATTCGCGCGAAAGGTAATTTCGACTTCGCAACGGCACGAGAGAAAACGCTGAATTTTCAGCACGACGGCGAGATATCTGATTCATAAATGTTCTCGCGTTTCTGACACGACTCCATCTGTATACATCTCTCCTTTTCCTAAAGTCTACTCTACTTATTTTAATATTATTATTATTTGTTCGCTAATCTAAGTATCAATATAGCTTTTCTAAAATAACCACCTCTTAATGGCTTTATTCTTTTATTTTTCTGTTCTTTTCATTTCTTCTGTATGTTATCAATTAGACTAAACTCGTTTATTTATTTATAACTCTCTAAATTGCTTAGAATGGGATTTCACTCGAAAAATAGCGTGACCACTGCAATCACTCGAGTTCTAGTGGCCTTTTACTCGAAATTTAAAAGTGAATCCGGTGTATTTTATATTAAAAAAAAAATAGATATAATGATGACAACTGTATAGAGAGATGACACGAATTTAGTATGTAGAATTAATGTATATAATTTAATAAACTATTTAGTAGTTATTACAACTAAAGCTTTGATTGCAATGATTACAAAATAGTTATCATTTCTTACCGCAATCTACTTTTTGTCACAAGAATTTTATAACCTTTAAAGTTTACATCTAATTTATTTTCTATCTTCTGATGAAAGAAATTCTCATGTAATTCTTCTTATTAATGGAACTATTCCGATATTTGGCCTTCTATTTTACGTACCATTTACCGGTTGAAAATGGGATTAACGCGAGCAGATTAGAAAATAACTAGCACCGGTTTATCGGCGAAATAGCACGTCAGAGAGAGAGAGAGAGAGAGAGAGAGAGAGAGAGAGAGAGAGGGAGGGAGCATTATACGGGATTGATACGGCTTTCGAACGCGCATTTATCTGTTTCCATCCGGTTCGTCGCGATAAATACGGGCACTCGCGTATTTTCAAAGTGCACTGAAACGTGAAACCATTCTCAACGTCATCGAAATGGAACATATCGATGATCGATTCGCGTATCTTTCTCGAAATCGGGCTTCACCTATCTCTGGGTGTGCGGACGCCCCAGATATAAAGTACCCTGTGCGACCGACGAGAGAGCGAGTCCATAAGAAATCCACATCGCAAGATCTTTTTTCTCCCTTTCTCGTCTTATCTATCACTTTTGCAGCCGAATAGGCTGGAACATTAACGTTATCTGCGCCCCGAGGGATCGAGGAAGCGAGCGCTCCTCCGCCCTGCAAGGACGCGTAATTTGTCGTCGTTGGTAAAAAGGGCGTGTCGCTGCCAGTAGACCAATGTCCGACGCCGGATACGCGAGCTCGATTACACGCCGGGGAATAAAACGCGACTAATTGAATGCGGTCGTGTAGCGAAACTCTGCATTGTGCTCCGCATAATTGCATATAACTCGGGAGAATATCGCAACGGGCACCTGCGATGGAGTTTCCAATTAGTCGAGACCGCGCGTCGTCTGTTGTAGCGTTACCCTTGCCGATTTTGCGGGGATTCATCAAATTATTGTCATTAAGGATATGCTGTGCTCGAGAACTACCGTACTCGAAAACATTCAAAGTGTTTCTCAATTTTCCAGATTCTAACTTTCTTCCAAATAGACCAAAATATTTATAGGCTAAAAAATGATGTCTAAATAAACATTATGTATGTAAGAAACATTTCTTACAACACATTATTTAGTTTTCATTTTTAACTGATGTCACATTATAGTTATTTTTGTTGGAATTGTTGACACCTGACCTAATTTTGTGTCATTTTTTTTTTGTAGAAAATACAGGTTCCAACAACCTGTATTATATCTGTATATTTTATTTTAATATTTTAATTTTATTTGGTTCAGGTAACAATGACGAGACATAATTGACGAGAAAATAAAACGTTTGTTAATAACCTGTCGTGTCGCGCAAGCCTCTTAATATCGCTACTTTTGTAGAACGGCTTCTACGTTATCGACATTTTTAAAGTTCGTTATTGACTTTGACATCATCCTCTCAAGGGGATATCGACGTAATGCTGCTTTCGTAGTTTGCACTATTTTTCTATTTGCTTGCATCGAGTTGCAAATACTTTTACAAATATCAATGCGTCCATGAATGCCCCAGTTATATGCAAAAAAATTTTCTAAATAAAATTATCCAACATTGCCTTTAAACGCGCACGTAATGAGCCGCGAAACGCTGACTCGCCGCGAATTTCACGACAAATCGCGGTATTGCACGGAGCGCCACGATTTCTTTCCTTTTTCCATCTCTTTCTATTTTTTGTTCTATTTTTCGCTTTTTCCTCTTCTTTTTATTTGCCCGCGAGACGCATTCCGCATCGCAGAGAGAAAGAGAGAGAAAGCGCAACGGAGAGCCGCAACGATGCAATTTGCGAGCTCGCAAGTGCCGCGGGTAGCTTGTAATAGCGTCGGGCGAGCCATGAACGCGTTTCTCGCCGTTATCGCGGAGGTGATGTTTGTAAGCACTGTCAAAAATGCCGATGGGATTTGCGCGAAACACTCGCGCACAACCTACGCATTCTTCTTGCCCGACGCAAGATGGTTCGCGATGTGTTCGCGATGGTTCGCATTGGCCGCGGATATTAATGAAAGTGATGGCAATATGTGTGCACTCGAGTTAAACAACTGTACACACGAAAAACACGTACACACGTGTGTGTGTGTGTGTGTGTGTGTGTGTGTATGCATGTACACATACACGCGCAGCTATGTATTTCCACAGTAAATGCTGCGCTATGATGCACACAGAAAAATATCGTTCCATTGCCGAGAGAAGCGATTACTCTGTTCGCTTTTCCTCTTTTAAGTAACGATTACCCTCGACGAAGAATATTTTTTTCATAACAGCTATTTTTTTTTAATATCTTCGTCACACAAATTGGAAAAGAGCTCATTATCGAGTAAAAGAAGGATTTATTCTACTCAAAAGAGGGATTTATTCTCTTTATAAGAATATTGCAAAACTTTATGAAGGAGAAACTCGGTTTGGTTCCCTGCAAAGTAAGTAAACCGAATTTTTGTTTCCATTTAATACACTCTATTGAGATGCTAAACTTACTAGAATCTTACGATCCAGAAAAATTCACGGGAAATTTATCGCGTCGCGTTAATATTTGACAGACGTTCTGTATCTTCTCGTCAGAAACGAACGACGCTCGAAATGGCGTGTCAGTGTGCGCCTCATAAAAAAAAACCATAAAATTCTCGATTTTATAGCCAAGATTATCGTGCAATTTGACCAGCCCGTTTCAGCGTAATGATGTGGGTGTACATCGATCAAATTAAATGAATTTATTTAACGACACCAGCGAGCTAAATTAACTCGTTAATATATTATGAGGTGACGGGCTTTTAAATGTAGAATGCGGGCCCGCGCGCGATAAAGGACTGTGTGAAAAAATACAGCTCGTGACGTGGAGCAGCGCATCATCAACGGCGACAACAAATAAATCTCGTGCTCGCGAAAATGAAATTCCATAATCAACGGCTGCGATCGTGCGTGATGGGCAAAACAAGCGCGGAAAACGCGTTTCGATCGATATGCCCTATCTTTGTGCAAGCGAGTCCTCCCCTCCCTCTCTCTCTCTCTCTCTCTCTCTCTCTTTTCTCCTCTCATGCATAACCATGAGCATATGTGACACACATACAGCCCCGATTCTCTCCTCGTCCTCCGCTGCCGAAAGGATCGTTAGCGCGCAAAGTACCGTCGGGAGGATATTCCGTTCGTTCGAAAAGGTCAAGAATCCCCGTCAGGTCGCCGCGGCCGCCACTGCCTTTGTCCCGGTGCGGAAGTTATTATCGCCGGCGACACGACGATAGTGCACGCTATCGACAAAGAAAGCGAGCGAAAAACGAGCACGGAAAAAAGGTATATTCGCGGATAATAAGGAAAAGGGAATCGCGATTTTCGCGGGCGAGACGAACCGTGTCGTCGCACCTCGCCGTGCATGAGAGCGGTCCAAGAAGCTCTTCCGTTGTACGCCGAAAAAAATATAATCTCATCCGTAGCGAAAATCCTCATATGTATGGCCTCAAGAGGATTTTGCTTGAAAGGAAAAGATTCTAACGTCTAAAAAGATAACTCCAGGCTACGAGGTGGTATTCGCTGTAATCTCATATTCTTACACGAAGAAAACTACTATGGTCGCTATATCCACGTATTCTATGGTTAGAGAGAAAACTTATGTGGTTTCAAGTAGATATAAGGCATTAGAAGTTGCTGTTCATAGTTCTTATGATATACACGGTGTCCCAAAAACAATCTTCGAAACTCTCGTGGAGACGTACGATTGAGTACGGATTGAGGTGAAAGTTCTATACCGTTTCGTGATATTCGCAATAATTATTTCGATATTAATTAAAAAAGATTTGTGAATTGATTACGTGAGATACAGTAAATGAACTAGTGGCGACGTCTGCCATCGTGTGTTTGTAGATTAGATTAGATTAAACTGAATAAGAAAGTCCTCTATCATTTTTTTAATAACTTTGTAAATTTTTAGTTATTAATTAGATAATATTAATATATTATCGCAAGCGATCATTCGTCAATTTTTTTTAAATAGGATAGGACTTTTATGTTCACCTTAATCTGTATCATACTATGCTTCCACGAGAGCTTCGAAAGTTGTTCTGAGACACTCCGTGTCTCATAATATTCAGTTATCCTCATATACATAGTTGCCTTAACTAGAGGAATATTGCTGTCTCGCTGTTGTGGTCTGTAGAACAAATACTATGGTTGAGAGATCCGTAAAGTTTTGTTGCACTATACAACATTAAGAATACTACTCAAACACATATGAATAGACAGTAAAGAAAGTAAATGTATCACTTTCAGAGTATTATGGATACGACAATCATTTTATATGCCAGGCGAAAAATAATATTAATATTTTGCTGTGACAACCATATTTAGGCAAGTGATATCTTTACTCTCTTAAAGTGAATCAGTGAATAGTCACTGATATCACTTATAAGTATAGCACTGAGCAGTTTCAATGCTATACTTATAGCTGTAAATCAATGTATACTTACTGCTTTCAATAATGTTTCACTGATTCACTTTAAAAGAGTAATGTTTTCTTCGTGCAGCGGAAACTCTCATTGAAAGATTATTCCTGTTCTCTAATGAAGTGACCTTACCCTTTAGTGAAAAAGATTTCCACTAAAGGATAAGCTTATATATTATTTTGGATTGTATCTCGTTTCCTCTTCTCAAGTTGTGCCAATTATCAGTTGTACTCTCGCCGCGTTCCTCCCAGTCCCAACACGCTGAGTCTCGCAAAGTTGCAATAATGAAATTAAGCGCCTAAATAATATGCTTCTGCCGTTACTCCCCCGAGTTTTCGCGTATCCGATCGAAGCCTCTCAACAGAGGACTGTAATCCGCGGATTACCGCCTTCATATCGTCCCGTTGCCTGATAAAGGCGGATTACAGATTAGCGTGCGCTCGTGGAAGCAGGTCGTTTGTCACAGGAAAAGATCGCTCCAAGTGTCGTGCCGTTTCGCATCGACAGGCCGGAGAGGCAAAGAGGACGACGAGCCCGATCAGCGCACGAAGTCGCGCGCGTCGGACTCTCCCGTAAAAAGTGTGAAATCGCCGATTTTACAGCCGAGACTGTCGCACGATTTTACAGCTCGCATAGCTTTATGGTAAAAAAGAACATTTATTGTACTGACTGTACCCCGGATAACACGGATAGCACGGATAACATCGCGTTGGGCGAACGGAGCGTTTCGAAGATTTTCTGTGGTCGGTCATTAATTCCATCCTTTATTAACGACAGTTTCCGCGGCACGTTACGACTGTTGAACGTTTAACACACCATTCGACGTCGCAGTCGTTACGATCTCGTTACGTGTCGGACTGTTAAGTAAGGTAAAAGTGGAACAAAACGTCCTGCACTCAATCTGTTTTTGCCGTTCTTGCACACTTTTTTACCAAATATCAAAGTATGAAGAGTATCAATATATGGAGAGTAAAAAATTAAATAATCATTAATTATTAATAAATTTCCATGTATCTTAATATATGATAAAATTCACACACAAAAATGCTGAAAGTTTATATATGAATATTCATATTTAAGGACCAAAACGAGACTCAAAAGGAATCTAATTTTCAGCGGAATTTTTTGAATCTTAGATTTTATTCTCATACATAATCTCAAGAGAGGATCCTTTTAAAAAGATAATATTCTTAAAATTAGAAAAATTTCGTCTTTTATCTGCAGTGCGTCTTATTTTTAATAGAAAACAAATATATTCTTCTTAATTTAAAAGCAAAAAAAGTTAGAATGATATCTAATATATTTGCGATCGATAGCCTATTTCATTAGAAGGAGAATGCTCTTTAGGCAAAGGTTGTCGCTTGGAATATGGGATTACAGGAAATAGCACCTTGCAACCGAAGTCCTTTTTCTTGGGTGAATAAAAGCGTGCAGGGTCAGTACGTGGCCAGGCACGTACTTTTACCTCACATTTTAACGATCGGAATTCTCATCGTTCTTCCCGTACTTGTCCCTCTTTCAAGCTAAAGCTCGCTTTTTTTTTCATTCCACTCTTCTTGTAGCCGATCTACTTTTCGTTCGCTTATTATTGTTTACTTAACCGAAGGATCGGAGCACTTCTCGATATTAATCGTCGAGTTTTACTGATAGGAGAGAGCAAGAGACTCAAAGGCGATCGCCTGAGGTCACTTAAAGATTCCGAACACGATTTTTCAGGTCGTCGGTAATAAGTCGATTCCTCTGGCGGGATCGGAGTTTATCGACTCGATCATTAAATTACACGGCTGCAAGTCGCATCCGTGTGTCCGTGCACACACTTCGATGATACTTCCCGGCTATATCCTCACAGCCAACGACACATTACGTGAACTCGCTCTAATTACATTTCCCCGGGAGTCCCAGACACGCCTCCCGCTTTTTCAAATCGCGCGCTCTCTCTCTCTCTCCCTCTCTCTCTCTCTCTCTCTCTCTCTCTCTCTCTCGATTAATCCCCGACAATCCTCGCGGCAATTAAACGTCCGCCGTCTATTAATATTACGACAAACGAATATCGAGGCGGCTTGATATATCGCACGCGATTAAGCCGGCGCGGAACACGGACGGATCATATTGCGGAAGTATTGGAAATCGATGAGAGCGCACATTACCATTTTTCACATAGAATACGATACGATACGCGCTGCCTACATTATCATAAGAAACATCTATCATCTCGTCTTGGGCTTATCACTTATGAAATATGTATTGAAAAACATATATAAAACATACTCTGGTGTGGCAAAAATTCCATTTCGTATCTGCATTCCATATCTAAACTCGTATTCGCAATTCCACGTAGCCATGTGTGTGTATGTATGTGTGTGCGCGCGCGCGCGCGTGTATACGTACATATAAATATAAATACGCATACATATATATGCATGTATGTATTTCCGCCTCTGTATCCTATTCTGTATTTTTATCTATTCATAGCAATTTTTTCCTCCTTTTTCCTTTTTTTTCGTGAAACGCTTTTCCTTTAGCCGCGGCTCGTGGTTAGGCGATAAATTCTGTACGGGAAACGAGATGTGCGCGGAAAGTGTGAGCACGATAACCCCGCGTTGACCTCGCGTGGACTCTTGACCCCCTTTCGAAAACGCTTAATTTATAGTAATGTATCATCACGCTGTGATTGAGTCGCGTCCTCGTTTCATCGCGCGATGCGATCCTTAATGTCGAATCGTCGCGTTTATTAGCACGACGACGACTGAATGTAGGACGCGTGCGTTCGGATTTGCGGAAACCCAGCCCGGTCGATTATCCGCGAAAGGACTCGGCCAAAGTGACACGAACAGGATTTCCAGATTTCGGAACTGCAGTTTACCGAACACATACTCGCACGCTCGCTAATTAGCTACTTTGTGCAAACCTATCACTTACGGTAAGCCGTTGGGTTTCACACGATCACATTATATCGCGACGATACGTTCTCTGTTTAACAAATTTTATCGCTCGATTCTTTACCTTCGCGCGTTTCTCGCGCGCGCTCTTTGTATAAATCCTTATTACACCGTATCGAATAAAGTTCTCACTTGCAGCCGTATCGTATCTCCTACGCCGTGAAAAATTCAGGCGAAGCCTGTAAAAAAGAGCGCGAGTGGTTGAAACTTTTATACGGTGCGCGCGTGCAGTCGACCTTTTGAATTAAATAGTGAAACTTCAAGGATTTAAATTCCCCCGTGAAGTTCGGACATCGCTTCCAACCGCCGCCCCGCGATTGTTCTTATTTCACAAATCCGTGCTACCCCGCGAGATTACAATGAGCCCTTAATTAAACCGCATACCTCTATCTGAGTTATGGCTACTTTTTAGCAGATTACTATAATTACATCTCTAATCTGACCGCGCTGCTATTGTCCATATTAGCCAAATATGTGTCGCGTGCGTTACTCAATACTGCGCCCTGTAACCCACCGATGTCAGAATAATTAGGTTGTCCACTAAATTTGATTGAATCTTGAAGTCGCGTCCGAATCGACTTCCATACTCTACTCGTATTTCTTACTTCCTAAACTTCTTCACGCAAAATTTAACTCAGAGTAGAACGACAGTTTGCTCGAATAGTGAATGTGTAGAATGAATTCTACACTCCGAAACGAATGGAGTGAATATTTTCATCCAACATTGAAAAGTGCTTCAAGAAAAAATTCACTCTAACGGATTGAAATGCTCACTTTGCGGATTAAAGATCCACTCTAAAAATTGGAGTGAAACAACTCGTTACGTCAAATTCGCTCGTTTTGAATGAAATTCCATTCCAAGTAATTTAGACAGTATACATGGAGAGAGAATTGTATTTTATTTCAACTTATTTTATAAAAGTGTGAATTCTGTCTTATTTTCTTAAAAGTTACTGCAGCATTTGTAGACGAAATTGATAGACATCCTGCAGTGATGGACTATCCTTTTACTTCGTATGTTCTATCTACATTTCATCAACTGAAATTTGCTGTGTTTCTAGCGAAATTTCTAGCGAAATTTGTTATGTTCCTTAATACAAGATAGACCTTGCTATTCTTGCACTACTAAAAACACAGTAACATTGAAAAGAGTTTGTGTAGTTGAGGAATAGTTCGACATTTTATAATCCCATATATTCTTTCATTTCATAAGTATTATTTACACTTTAGGAACTGCTTTGAAAATTTGCTATCTGAAAACATTGGAACCAAATACAAGACGCGGTTCCCAAAAAACAAGTGAAATTTACTATGCTCCTTGGCCAAATAAACTCTATTGAGTCTATGCACTACTAGAAACATAGTAAAATTGAAAAAAATCTCTGTTTAATAAATAAAACAAAAAAAAAAGTAAAATTCTCTCCGTGTACTCTCTAAATTTCTTAGAGTGGAATTTCATTCGAAGTGAAAAATGGCAGTATTTTTATTCCAAATTGCAAGAGCAAATGTTTCACTCAAGCTTAAATTGTGATACTCCATATGAGCGAATGTTTCGATCAATTAAAGAAATTAAATGAATATTAAATGAATTAAATGAATATAATTCTATAACGGTGGAATACATCAGATTCGCATTTCAATTTTACGTGAAGATATTCATTCAACAGTTTAGAGTGGAAAATTCACTTCATATGAATGGAAAAATCCAAGTGACTCGGAGTGGTCGCTCAACTCTGTTTCGATTGGAATATCACTCTGAGAAATTCAGCAAGTAAGACTCGCGATATCGTATTAGTCCTTATTTTGGTTAACCATCGGTATCATAAGCAATTCACCTGCGATGCAAATTCGATCTAATCTACGCCCGACGATGCAAAATCGGCGATGGCCATCTCGATCGGTCTGCAAATCGCTAATTAATGTTCATCCGTCCGACTTCATTGGCTTTGTCTCGATCGCAAACGCCTACTATACACACATCTCTATTTGTTCCCGCCTGCGTCCACGGCCGCGAATTGCCGCGAATAATTGAAATTAATTGTGCTCCGCTCTATCCATTCTTTCACTCGCGAGCGCCGGGCGGCCATTGTTCGGCGCGAAAGGATGATTAATGTTTTCCATCGTTGAATTAATTCCCGGGCGAAAGCATAAACGCCCTTTGTCTTGCCACGACGTAGATTAAGCTCCCGATCTCTCCTCTTTTTGTCTCGCAAAAATGCACACTGCACCTGCGCGCACCGCCGCCGCCTCCTCGTCCTCCTCTGCTCTCATCCCGCGACTTGCAATTACTTCGATACCTCCGTGTCGCGTATGCATACTGTATACGACGGGATTGAAAAAGTTTTACGATAGTTCATTGTTTAACTCGCGAATAACATCGGATTTGCGTTTTTTTACTCTCTCTCTCTCTCTCTCTCTCTCCCCTCTTTCTCTCGCTCGCTCTCTTTCGCTCTCGCGCACAGCGACTGACAGCGTGTCAATCCGACTTTGCCGTAACGCAGCGGTAACATGATAAATATTGATCCGCGAATTCGTGTGTGCTCATCACCGCAATCACACAATTAACGCTACCAAGCCCCGCTCTCCCCGCCTCTCGAAACGGATGCGGGCATGTGTGTACAAAATTCGCTAATTGCGACGAAAATAAAAATGCTCGCGCTGCGAGCCGGCACAAAGCCGCATTTACACAATACCGCCGACGCATATCGCTGAGGATTTTACAGTCGCGCATTTCGATCATTATAATCGCAACTGTTTACGAGGAAAACAGTTCAGTTAATAACCCAATTCTCATCACTGCTCGCATTGAAGAGATAAATGTCTAAAAAAAAAACAGAAAATATATACACATATTCTCACAGGCAGAAACAAATTTTTTTCAAAGAAAAGAATGATCTCATCCTTAACGGAGTTCTTCTATTCATTATCCCAAGAATCTTCTAAAACCAAAAAATGAATATTCTTAACTTAACATTCTTACCCAAAGTGAGAGAGAGAGGGAGGAAAATAAAGAAAGAGAGAAAAATATTCTCTTTTCTCATATAAACTCGGCTGTCACTGAGCTTTTTGAGTAAAATTTTATTCCAAAAAATCTAGAAATTATCCAGCGAGTAATTATTTAGCGAGTAAATATTTTTCATTTCTCCTCCCAGTGCACACACTCGCACACGCATACACAATTGCGCTCATTCCCGCAGTCAGTGTCTCTCTCGACCCGGCCTGCTTCCGACGTCCTCACACGTCGGGATTTCGTGCAGAGTTTCATCCAACTCGAGCTTCGCGACAACTGCAAGTAGTCTAGCCGCGCGCTTATCCGGCCGACGCCGCGCTCCCTCCCCCGCGTTCGGTACGGCCCGCGACGAACGCAGGTGCGAGCATACATAGAATTGAACGAACGACGAATGACCTTTCACTCAAAGAGACGCGGGCACCGGCGACGTCGGCGCGACGATGAACGAACACGATGCGTAGCCGCTAGCCGGTAAAAGTGCTGACGCAAGGGCACGAAAGTGGAAGGCGGAATTATGCCGGACAAAAATCCGGGACAATGCCGAGATGGACAACGCGACAAAGATTTCCTCGCCGGCGAGATCTCATCCATCGGCATGTCACTGCGGCCCAGCGGGAGTGCATCTTCCGGTGAGTAACCGCTCCGCGAGGACGATCTCGTCGTCCCGGCTGTCGAATTGAGAGAGTTGAAATAGAAAACGATAGGCCGATTTAGCCACCGCACTCGAATTCACAGCATGAAAACATATATTAAAATCACTTTTTACATTTAATAAATATAACAAACACTGCGTACACATCTACTAAATGTTTTGTAGCCTTTAAACTTTTGCAATACGGTGATACACCAATGTACTGCGAAATATCTTTATATATTCTAATAATTTTGTATACGTGATTCGATACTTGAAACTTTAATAAATAAATAAGTATAATTTTAGATGTTTTATTTTTTTATATAAATGGACATTTTACATGTTTTGGAAACTATAGCTATCAGCGTGCATTAAAGGATACAAAAAGTCTAGCATAGGCATATGAAATATTTGTTTTTTTTTCAATTTATTAGATGTAACAATTAATTTTAGTCGATCTTTTTCATGCTAAGCTCAAATCTGTTGGCTAAATTAGCCTATCACTTCTTTTAGACTTATTTTAAAAATGACAAAAAATGGCCTTCTTGGTAGAGATTAGTTGGTTCTTTTTCATCTGAACTCGATCTCTCCTATTTCTCTTAAGAAAAAGACTTCTAAGTTGTGTAAGGGAGTTATAGGGGAGTTGTAAAACGAAATAAATTATTTCTTATACATCAAGCTTACTCCGCGTATTGTAGACGAGCTTTTGAAATTAGGATGAAGTCTCATGGCATGTATTTGCGTGACCAATCGGAAGCGTTATTCGAAAACTATGTGCCATGAAACCACCACATGATTAATTACGCAGTTACGCGTTACGCGGAAAACACATGCCATGATGCTTCATCTTTAGAGAATGCTCGACCACTTTGCTTGATAATTATTCGTACCAATATTACGCTCTAGTCGGATCCTGGAATGTTCTAGTGGAGATCCGCGAGTGCACATCGCGACGGATTTGCGTGAAATTATCGTCGACGCGGGGGCGGTTTATCCAATTTGTGTAATTGTAATTTATTGCGACAATCGCATAAAATGCGCGCTCGCGTGATCGCGCTCAGCAATTTATTACAGAAGAGTATACCATCTCGCCAGCAGATCACGATTAATTTGTCAGATTGTTGATGTGCTCGCTACACCGTCGACTTGGACTCCTTCAACTGCCGCAACAGTTTTCTCACGACGTGACCGTTAGTGACGACTTCTTTGGAGTTCCTACGACCCGCCGCGACGCACCTCGTGAGCTGCTCTCTCGCGTTCACGCAATCCTGCGAAACGGCCAGGGGATAAGACTCAGAGGTGGTCAGACTGGTGCGGAGCTGATTGAACAGATTAAAGATGACGCATTCCTTCATGAGAATCTCGGAGTCGGCCACTTTGCTGTCATCCGCGGCGCACAGCCACAGCAAACTGTCCAGCCAATCCTCTTCTCCGCGTTGCCCAGTCTTGTAAACGATACCCAGATCATGCAGCCACAATGTCAACTGGAAAACAGAGATTCAGACTCGTCCTTGAGAGCAGCTGCCTTCTCCATATTGACGGCGCCGATGAACGTATCGTTGATAACGCGAGAGAAACCTCAAAACGGGATATCCGGTCAGATAATTAGTCATGAGCGACAATATACGATTGAAATATCAATATTCACGCTGTTAGCGTCGTATTGCAACGATATTGTCACAATTCAAGCTTAAGGTCAGCTCACAAAAATAATGATCGGACTTGAAAGCTCCATGTTTAAGATTGTATCGCGATTATGTTCTGTACACTCAGAGAAAAAGACACGTTGGTGGCAACTACACAAGTTTTATATGTAAAATACATGTATACTATGTTTCTTGGATAGATAGATTTTACTGTCAGTCTATTCCTACACTATTTTTTGTAGAAACATAGTAAAATTGAAAAAAGTTTGTATAGAAAATTTTCTATGGTTCTAGTAAAATTTACCATATTAGCAAGAAATTTACTATGTTTTCTTAGCAAGATAGACCTTACTATGACAGTGTCTATTCCTGCACTACTAGAAACACATGGCAAAATTGTGGAAAACTATAATATTCTATCTGTATATAGTTTAATAAACTATTTTATAAATTATAGTTAACTATAGTTAACTATAATAAACTATAGTTTTATAAACTATTTTGTAATTGCTGCACCCAAAACTGAATAGTGCTGCATAGTTCTCGTAACCATTCAGCTTTAGTTGCAATAACTACAAAATAGTTTATTAAGCCACATATATTAATCCTACATACAAAACTCGTATAACTGTCATCATGTCTTTTTTTTTAAGTGCAATGTTCTTCGAGCGAAATTACATTCAAGAAACAAAGTAACAGCCTAGTCATTCAAAATCGCGAGTGACTTTTCACTTATATGAGTCGAATTCTTCCACTCCGAATTATCAAGCGTATAGTTTCATCCGAAATTAAAGAATAAATCAATTAAACTCAAACGTCACCGAAACACATTCACTTATGGATTAAGAATCTCCATATTCCAAATTTGAATTGGACAATCACGCTTGGGATTTAGGTATCTTCGTCGTGGCTTCGAGCGAATTTTCGTTCGAGTAAGATTCCACTCTGAGAAATTTACACAGAGTATTCCGTTCCGCTGACGCTTGAGCATGCTCGAGATCAACGATACGTTTCCGACGGGAAGTGCGATAATATACCAGCTTACCGTGCCACGACATCGGAAGGTGAGGGGATTACCGGAGAAGCGAAACTTCTCGAGACCCGCCATCGGCATGAGCTGGGCCGGTTCCAAACACGTCAAACGGTTCTGCCTGACGTCGAGCCTTCTGAGGCCTCGCAGTCTCTGGAAGACCATCGGCTCGATCGACGTGATGAGATTGTACGAGAGATCCAGCTGCTCCAGAGACGGCATACCGGCGAACCACTGATCTCTCAGCTCCGTTATATTGTTGTACGGCAAACTGAGCTTTTTCAAGCTCGACAGACTGTCGAAGGCATAATCGGAGATCGTTCTGATGCCGCAGTCCTGTATATTCAAAGAAACCAGGCTCCTACCGTGTCTCGCGAACGATCGCTCGGGGATATTCTCTATCTGCGACTTGAAGACCATAATGTCGCCTATGTCCGACGACGCGTTGTAGTTCACGACGGTGTTCAGAGTCACGTTGGAGCATTTCAAGTGCTCATATAATCCTGCGGATATAAATCACGAACTAGTGAAATCTTCAGAAAAATTTGCGTTGATCACGGAAGAACCAGGATAGAATCAATCAATCACAGCGATTGCTTCATTCGCTATCTTACATTCAATCCACAGACATATAGAGTAGACTGCGCATTGTTGTAGAAAAGACGAAATCAGCATTAGCAAGGCTAATAGCCGGGAACACACAAAGAAGCGTGAACAGTAAGCAAATTGATCAACCAGTCGACAATTCTTCTTTTAGAAATAATCGATTGTGATTTGTCAATTTTCTAACTGCTTAAGTATTAGTTCAGTTCTTTCTGTTTAGGTTTTTCTGTGTGCTGCAGCCCTAAAAAAGGCAATAGAGAGAGAGTAAGATATCTTTTTTGTCTAGTTATCCGATTGATGGTAAAAACAAAAGAAAAGAAGCGATTATATGTGTCCTCTCTTTCTTTCAATGTGTCTTATTCTCTCTTTTGTTTCTCCTACATTGCTTTCTCTCTGAAGCTTGATCTGCAATGTGTTCTTTGCTTTCTGTTTCTTTCTCTTTATCTCCTTCTGACTCAAAGCCTTAAACTAAAAAAAGATAGAGAACGAGAAACAGAAAGCAAAGAGCACATTGTAGATTAGGCTTAAAGCTTGATCTACAATGTGTTCTTTGCTTCCTGCTTCTTTCTCTTTATCTCTTTCCGACTCACACCTTAAACTTTAAGCCAGAAAAAGACAGAAGACAAGAAACAAAACACAAAGAGCATATTGTAGGTCAGGCTTTAAAGTACTGTGTGAAGAAAGAAAACATTTAACTTGATATATCTTTGTCCTTCGATCTCGTCACCAGCCGTACTGTATAAGAGCGCAGTCTATATTTTATAAGCCTATGGTTTAATTTAAATAATAGCAATATCTATAATATACGTTTTACCTAAAATTCCAGCAATTTGTAATTTATACAAAATCAAATGAGACCAGTGAGTCTCACTGAGTCGTGAGATAAGGAGGGTTTCGCGAAACAGGCGAGAATCTAGGGCGTTCTCGTTAGGTATCGCGGCGCAGTCTCACCTTCCTCGTATTTGCTGGTGGTGCAGGCTGCGATTGCGATGTCTGCGAGAACGGAAATGCAGGCAAGAACGAGAAACGAGAGCCGGTACATCGCGGAGCGCGGACACTGCCTGAGCGGTTGTTTTACGACTGACTATCCGCTGAAAACGGATACGAGGATTCCAGCTCGTGTCCATCGAATTATCGCGACCGACGCTTCCCGTTCTCTGCGAATGATACTGTCTTATCGGTGGAGCAATTGTTATGCGAATATCGCGGATACATATCCCGCTGATTATAAAAAAAAAAAACAGTAATTAACGATATCCTTGTCCTGACACGCGCGTACATTGTTCCAGCAGGACACTGCGGAGAAATGAATCTCGTCGTTGGGCATGCAAAACAATCGTGATTAACAATACGTCTCGTTTAATTATGATATCTTGTAATATTTGCAAGAAATACGAATTACCTCTTTGCGAAATGTTCGAGACGTTTGCCTCATCTCTGACGTTCGTACCGTCTCGGATTAACGAATCGCGGCGTCCCTCCGCCTCCTCGAAACGAAGGAATCGTCGAAACGAGTTGGTTTATTTTTCTTCTCGGTAGGCATCTCGACCCTCGCGAGTTGCGGCGAGGTCGACGCGTTGCCGGAGCTGCCGGCGCAGGATGAGGAACGCCTGCAGCGTGCTGCACGCTTGCTGCAGCAGAGGCTGGTGTTACGTCAATGGTTGACGGATCATGGCCTACACAGCTATTATCAAAAGTAAGAGAAAGTAACACGCAAACGCCTCTTCTGAGGAAAATTTTACTTCTAAAATCTATAGTTTACATCACATTCCAATAAAGTTTTCCTCTGAAAGAACGTTTTGGAATGCAGCCCTAATAAATACTAAAATAGCACAATTTATATGCAACATATACATTCTTAATAACACATTTTACAAATGTAAAATGTACAGATAAGTTGTGTCGTCTGCTAACATATCTGCCTTGTGTTAAATTAACAACAAAATTGGGAATGGATAAACTAAATTACATGAAATGTATTAAATTTGATACAAAAGTTTTGCAGCGTGTCGTTTGTTTCTTTTTTTGTCATTGCGCAGCCAGTAGTAGCTAATTTAACACGAGAACTACCAAAGCAGTCGAAATGACGGTTGAATTTCTTATAAAAACTTACAACTGTGCATAGAAAGAACAAAATAAACGTTTCTTTCCTTTTACTTCCTTATATTTTCCTTATATTTTCAAAAACCGGTTTTGATAGAAACCTGATCAGAATCTGTCGTTCTGATAGAAATAGATCGTTAGTTGTTGATGGTTTCAGTGTTAATTGACAAATTCGCGTTATTACATTCGTCTTAGAAACAACGTTTGCCCCGCGGAATAACAGCTTTAAACTTTTAAGCTTTAAACGCAGCACGAAGTTAATAAGAATTTGAGTTTTACTGAGTCGCAATAATCATACAGTTATTTTTAACCGGTTTCTTTCTATTCCTCATCATTTGTCGAAACCATGATATTTAGGAGCGATCGTGATAGAGAAAATATATACATATATTTATATATATGTATATATATGAAGCATATATATATATATATATATATATATATATATATATATATATATATATATATATATATA